CTCAACCCTCAACCCTCAACCCTCAACCCTCAACCCTAACCCTAACCCTAACCCTAACCCTAACCCGTGCCCTCTTTATTTATTTATTTGTTTATTTGTTTATTTATTCGTTTATTTATTGTCCACTGGGCGTCGTATTTCAACAAGTCTCCAACTAAATGTTTTATGAGCACATACTTGTATTAGGCAATACTCCCAGACAGTGTTATGGTGGACAACCTGAATGGTTGTGACTGCGGTCAAGGCCATTCCGAAGAAAGTGGCTCACCCCTGCTTTCACTTCCATCCACTTGATTCACTTATAATCCCATTAATTACGCATCATTCTTTGTTGAGTTTCAGTTTGTATCTGTAAATCTGGAAATTAAAAATTACGCTTTCCTCCATCATTGGGGAGGGAATAGTCCTCAAGCCTCAATCACTTGCCGATCCTTAAAAGATAATAATAATAATAATAATAATAATAATAATAATAATAATAATAACTTTATTTATACCCCGCCACCATCTCCCCAAGGGAACTCGCGGCGGCTTACTTGAGGCCAAGCCCGACAACACATCAGTAAAAACAAAACAGCAAGCAAATAAAACAGTACAATTAATATAACTCACATATAAATAATAACACACAAGATGCAAAACCTTATGGCCGGGCCAGACGTAATATATTAATTTTTTAAAAATAAACTCTGGGCGTGAACAGAGGTAGGGTTTTAAAAGATAATGTAGGGAGACTGACCAACGGGTAGTAAAGTGCTTCTGGGGACATTTTGCAGGGAATTAGTCAGAGCAGGGAATTGTTTCCTTTTTTCAGGGAACGCACACTGGAACAGCCACGCTTTCAGGCTCCTCCTAAAGATTGCCAAAGTGGGGGCTTGTCTGATATCCTTGGGGAGTGAGTTCCAGAGTTGGGGGGCCACCATGGAGAAGGCCCTCTCCCTTGTCCCCACCAATCGCGCCTGCGAAGGGGGTGGGAGTGAGAGCAGGGCCTCTCCAGATGATTGAAGAGATCATGTGGGTTCGTACATAGAAATGAGGTCACACAGGTAGGTGGGGCCCAAACCGTTCAGGGCTTTGTGGGTAAGAACCTGCACCTGGAATTGGGACCGGAAAATGAACGGCAGCCAATGGAGCTCCTTAAACAGGAGGGTTGACCGCTCCCTGTAAGTCGCTCCAGTTAGTGACCTGGCTGCTGCCCATTGGACCAATTGAAATTTCCAAGCCGTCTTCAAGGGCAGCCCCACGCAGAGTGCATTACAGTAATCCAATATGGAGGTGACTAAGGCATGGACCACCCTGCCCAGAAGCATTCTCCTGATGTTTTGCCTGCATCTCTGGCAGGCATCCTCAGAGATTGTGAGGTTTGTTGGAGACTGGAAAATTGGGTTTATATATTTGTGGAAGGTCCAGGGTGGGAGAAAGAACTCTTGTCTGTTGGAGCCAGGTGGGAATGTTTCAATTGGTCACCTTGATTTATCAAACCTCACAACCTCTGAGGAAGCCTGCCACAGATACAGGTGAAACGTGAGGAGAAAATGCTTCTAGAACATGGCCATACAACACCCCATGTAATTTGGGATGCTCAGAAAGCAGACCTGGGACTCGTGATGGGAAGGGAGGCAGCACAGCCATCTTGGTGTTCCTTCTTAGCATTTATTTAGTTTTATTTATTTATTATTTGAACTTATATGCCGCCACTCCCCTGGGGCTCGGAGCGGCTTACAAGAATAGCTAAAATCTAACAAAATTTAAAAGCAATTAAAAACAATTTAAAAACAACACTATCAAACATTAAAAGCCTGTCGAAACAGGTATGTCTTCCATGCCCTGCGGAAAGCTGGTAAGTCCCACAAGGCACGGACTTCAGGTGGCAGAGTATTCCAGAGTGATGGTGCCACTGCTGTGAAGGCTCTGCGTCTGGTTGCTGTTAGACGCAAGGTCTTGACACTGGGAATTTCCAATAGATCTTGGTCCTTAGAACGGAGGGATCTCTGGGGTTGGGAGGGGGTGAGGCGGTCCCTCAGGTACATCGGCCCCAGACCATGCCAGGCCTTCAAGGTGAGTACCATCACTTTGAAAGTGATCCGGTGCTCAATTGGCAACCAATGCAGCTGCAGTAAGATTGGGGTGATGTGGCATCTCATCGGAATTCCCGCAAGAAGCCGAGCAGCTGCGTTTTGTACCAACTTGAGCTTCTGGATCACCGACAGAGGGAGGCCAATGTAGAGGGCGTTACAGTAGTCCAGTCTTGAGATCACCGTAGCTAGGTCATCCCTGGACAGGGAGGGGGCCAGCCGTCTAGCCTGCCGCAAGTGAAAGAAGGCGGTTCTGCTCACGGCGGAGACCTGGGATTTAGCCCATTCCTGGTCATTGAGGGACACATGATGCAGAGAATGGTGCCCTTGAGTCTTCCAAAGGACCGTTCCTTTCTCCCGGCCTGCCTGCCTTTCATTCTTTTTCCACATTTCTGTTCACCCTAATAAAATCAATATGATGCCCCAGAATTAGGATTTCCCCATTTTTCCTTCTCTCATTCCTTTTTTTCTTCCTCCATCCCTCTCTTCTTCTGAATTCATTCCCTTCTTTTTAAAGAACCATTCATTCCCATGGCTGGTCTCTGGAAATGTGCTTGAGGCCCCAGTGTCTGCCTTCCTTGGTATTTCCATGTTCAACGTGACCCATGAAGGGGAAGGGGGAAATCTTGGAGGTAGAGAAGGTCTCTGGCTTTCTCCCTTGATCTTTCTCTTCTTTCTTCACCAGGGAAGTGAGGACTCTTTGGAGCGACCTCTCGGATGCAGTAAGAAAACCGATAATGCAGGGAGAAGAAATCCTCTCGAGACGATGATCTGGCTGAATTCTTGACTTCACTTACAGATAACAAAGGAATAAAGAAGAGTCAAGTCTCTGTATTGAAATTAAACACCCATATCATTCTTGACATGGAGGAGAAAACGTCTAAATGCCTGGAATGTGGAAAAAGTTTCACTCGGAGGGATCATCTGCAGCAACATGAAAGGACTCACACTGGGAAGAAAACCTATTCCTGCCTGGAGTGTGGACAGAGCTTCGCTCAGAATGCCAGTCTACATAGACATCAAAGGACTCACACTGGGGAGAAACCCTATACGTGCCAGGAATGTGGACAAAGCTTTGCTCATCGTTCACATCTACATAGACATCAAAGGACTCACACTGGGGAGAAACCCTATATGTGCCTGGAGTGTGGACAGACCTTTGCTCAGATTTCAAGTCTACGTTCACATCAAAGGACTCACACTGGGGAGAAACCCTATACATGTCTGGAGTGTGGACAGAGCTTCACTCAGAGGGGACATCTACATAGACATCAGAGGACTCACACTGGGGAGAAACCCTATAGATGCCTGGAGTGTGGACAGAGCTTTGCTCAGATTTCAAGTCTACGTTCACATCAAAGGATTCACACTGGGGAAAAACCCTATAAATGCCAGGAATGTGGACAAAGCTTTGCTCATAATTCAAGTCTGCATTCACATCAAAGGATTCACACTGGGGAAAAACCTTATAATTGCCTGGAATGTGGACAGAGCTTCACTGTGAGTGGCCATCTACATAGACATCAAAAGACTCACACTGGGGAGAAAGCTTATAAATGTCTGGAATGTGGTCAGAGCTTCACTCACAGTTCACATCTACGTACACATCAAAGGATTCACACTGGGGAGAAACCCTATAAATGCCAGGAATGTGGACAAAGCTTTGCTCAGAATTCAAGTCTGCGTTCACATGAAAGGACACACACTGGGGAGAAACCCTATAAATGCCTGGAATGTGGTCAGAGCTTCACTCAGAATTCAAATCTACGTACACATCAAAGGATTCACACTGGGGAGAAACCCTATTCCTGCCTGGAGTGTGGTCAGAGTTTTGCTCGTCGTTCACATCTACATAGACATCAAAAGACTCACACTGGGGAGAAACCTTATAAATAGGTTCTTGTGGGTTTTTTTGGGCTATATGGCCATGCTCTAGAGGCATTTTTCCTGACGTTTCGCCTGCATCTATGGCAAGCATCCTCAGAGGTAGTGAGGTCTGTTGGAAATAGGAAAATGGGTTTATATATCTGTGGAATGACTGGGGTGGGGCAAAGAGCTCTTCTCTGCTGAAGCTAGGTGTGAATGTTTCAGCTGACCACCTTCATTCGCATTTGAAGGCCTGGCTGAGCCTGGGAAAATCTCTTTCTGAGAGGTGTTAAGATGTGCCTGGTTGTTTCCTCTCTGCTGTTTTGCTGTTGTAATTTTAGAGTTTTTTAATACTGGTAGCCAGATTTTGTTCATTTTCATGGTCTCTTCCTTTCTGTTGAAATTGTCCACATGCTTCTTGTGGATTTCAATGGCTTCTCTGTGTAGTCTGACATGGTGGTTGTTGGTGTGGTCCAGCATTTCTGTGTTCTCAAATAATATGCTGTGTCCAGGCTAGTTCATCAGGTGCTCTGCTATGGCTGATTTCTCTGGTTAGAATCATAGAATCATAGAATAGAATCATAGAATCAAAGTGTTGGAAGAGACCTCGTGGGCCATCCAGTCCAATCCCATTCTGCCAAGAAGCAGGAATATTGCATTCAAATCACCCCTGACAGATGGCCATCCAGCCTCTGTTTAAAAGCTTCCAAAGAAGGACCCTCCACCACACTCCGGGGCAGAGAGTTCCACTGCTGAACGGCTCTCACAGTCAGGAAGTTCTTCCTCATGTTCAGGTGGAATCTCCTCTCTTGTAGTTTTTTTTTTATAGTTATAATTTTTATTAAGGTATTTAATAATTACAACGAAAGAGGGTGAACATTTAAAAGAAGATAGAACAGTAGGAAAAATATTAAAAAAGAAGGGAGAATAAAGAGAAGAAGAAAAAAGACAAAAAAATACTAAAATAAAAAGGTTTGACTTCCATCTCCTCATCAGGTGTTGTGTCTCCAAAAGTGTTTCCATTACTTTCCTTTTAAAATAGTCCTCTTATTTGCTTTTTTCTTTCTCGTAATTATCATAAAGGGTCCAATTAGTCCTCTTTATCGGGTTCCCGGTATTTTTTTTCAAAAAAAAAAGTTAGTTCGTCCATCTCTCTTATTTCTCTAATTTTCCCTAACCATTCTTCTTATCCTGTTTCCAAAGTTTTGCTAAAGCTATTCTTGCTGCCGTCGTAATATAAGTAAACAGTTTGTCCTCATTTTCCTGTAATTGTAGTTCTGAGTCTGTAAAACTTAATAAATAATATTCTGGTTTCTTCTTGAATACTCTTTTCAAGATTTTTTGTGCTTCTTCATGTACCATAGACCAATATTTCACTGTTTCTTTACATGTCCACCACATATGATAAAAGGTACCTATCTGCTGACAACCTTTCCAACATTTGTCAGAAGAGTTTTTATTTATTAAAGATAATTTCTTAGGTGTAGTATACCATCTGTGGAACATTTTTGCCCAGTTTTCCTTTAAATCTGTTGCATACACATATTTTAGCTTTTTGTTCCACATCTGTTCCCACTCTTTAAATTGAATAGGTCTTCTTATATTTTCTGCCCATTTTATCATACATGATTTAACTTGTTCACATTCCGTTAGCCAAGTTAGAAGTATATTGTAAATAACTGAGATTACTTTTTTCTTTGCCTTCAAAATCTTATCCCAAATTGATTCTTCTCCTTTCTTGTAGTTTGAAGCCTTTGCTCCATTGTGTCCTAGTCTCCAGGGAAGCAGAAAACAAGCTTGCTCCCTCCTCCTCCCTGTGGCTTCCTCTCACATATTTATACATGGCTATCATATCTGGGGTGAAAATTGCTGGAAGAAGCACTAACAACCTCAGATATGCAGATGACACCACTCTGATGGCCGAAAGCGAGGAGGAGCTGAGGAGTCTTCTAATCAAGGTGAAAGAAGAAAGTGCAAAAGCTGGGCTGCAGCTAAACATTAAAAAAAACCAAGATTATGGCAACAACAATGATTGACAACTGGAAAATAGAGGGAGAAAATGTGGAGGCCATGACAGACTTTGTATTTCTAGGTGCAAAGATTACTGCAGACGCAGACTGTGGCCAGGAAATCAGAAGACGCTTACTTCTTGAGAGGAGAGCAATGTCCAATCTCGATAAAATAGTAAAGAGTAGAGACATCACACTGGCAACAAAGATCCGCATAGTCAAAGCCATGGTATTCCCTGTAGTAACCTACGGATGTGAGAGCTGGACCTTAGGGAAGGCTGAGCGAAGGAAGATAGATGCTTTTGAACGGTGGTGTTGGAGGAAAGTTCTGAGAGTGCCTTGGACTGCGAGAAGATCCAACCAGTCCATCCTCCAGGAAATAAAGCCCGACTGCTCATTGGAGGGAAGGATACTAGAGACAAAGTTGAAGAACTTTGGCCACATCATGAGGAGACAGCAAAGCCTAGAGAAGACAATTATGCTGGGGAAAGTGGAAGGCAAAAGGAAGAGGGGCCGACCAAGGGCAAGATGGATGGATGGCATCCTTGAAGCGACTGGACTGACCTTGAAGGAGCTGGGGGTGGTGACGGCCGACAGGGAGCTCTGGCGTGGGCTGGTCCATGAGGTCACGAAGAGTCGGAGACGACTGAACGAATGAACAACAACAACATGGCTATGTTCTCTCCTCTCAGCCTTCTCTTCTCAGGCTAAACATGCCCAGCTCCTTAAGCCACTCCTCATAGGGCTTGTTCTCCAGACCCTTGATCATTTTAGTCACTCTCCTCTGGACACCTTCCAGCTTGTCAATATCTCTCTTGAATTGTGGTGCCCAGAATTGGACACAATATTCCAGGTATGGTCTAACCAAAGCGGAATAGAGGGGCAGCATTACTTCCTTAGATTTAGACACTGTGCTCCTATTGATGCAGGCCAAAATCCCATTGGCTTTTTTTGCCGCCACATCACATTGTTGGCTCATGTTTACCTTCCTGTCCATGAGGACTCTGAGATCTTTTTCACACGTACTGCTCTCGAGCCAGGCCTTCCCCATTCTGTATCTTTGCATTTCGCTTTTCCTGCCAAAGTGGAGTATCTTGCATTTGTCACTGTTGAACTTCATTTTGTTAGTTTTGGCCCTTCATCTCTCTAATCTGTCAAGATCGTTTTGAATCCTGCTCCTGTCCTCTGGAGTATTGGCTCTCCCTCCCAATTTGGTGTCATCTGCAAACTTGATGATCCTGCCTTCTAACCCTTCCTCTAAGTCATTAATAAAGATGTTGAACAGGACCGGGCCCAGGACAGAACCCTGCTGATGGCACTTCCGCTAGTTCCTTCAATACTCTTGGGTGTAGTTGATCTGGCCCTGAAAGGGGACTTGAACTCATTTAGAGCGGCCAGGTATTCCTGTACAATTTGGAGTTGGATGTCCTCAAATCCCTCATCCACTCCGTCTTGCTGAAGTTGAAGATGACTTTCTTTTTGTGAGAAGACCGAGGCAAAGAAGGCATTAAGCAGTTCTGCCTTTTCCCTATCCCCTGTCAGCATTGCCCCATCTTCTCCTCAAAGAGGCCCTATCGCCTCCTTGTTTTTCCTTTTTCTACTGACATAAGAAAAGAATCCCTTTTTATTGTTTTTAATGTCCCCGGCAAGCCTGAGCTCATTTTGTGCTTTAGCCTTGTGGACCTTTTCTCTACAGGTGTTGGCTATTTGTTTGAATTCTTCTTTGGTGATTTCTCCCTTTTTCCACTTCTTGTGCATGTCTCTTTTGTGTCTCAGCACAGTTAGAAGTTCTTTGGACATCCATTCTGGCTTCTTTGCACTTGTCCTATTTATTCTTTTTGTTGGCACGGTTTGCAATTGCGCCTTCAGTATTTCATTCTTGAGAAACTCCCATCCATCCGTAACTCCCTTGTCTTTTAGTATCTGTGTCCACGGAATGCTGCTCAGTGTTTCCTTCATTTTTTGGAAATCAGCTCTCCTAAAGTCCAAAATGCGGGTTGAAGTAGTCTGCAGTGCCTTTCATGTTCCTTCATTCATCACCTCTCCGTTCCCTCGCGGCTCCGAGGAGAGCCGGCATTGGCTTTTCGGAGAACCAATGGCGAACCAACAGTGAACCTTTTCCAGGGAGGAATGCCAAACGAGGTGGAGCGCTTTCTGAGACTGCCAATGCATGCTCAGTAATGAGTGCCCAACTTGAATGTGGGACTCCACTTCCCAGAAGCCTTAGCCACTGTTTACAATCGTCAGTGGTTCTGGAAGGAGGGGGGGAGGGGGAGGAGGAGGAGGAGAGGAAGGGCAGCCAAGAGGAGGAAGGCTGCTGCTGCGTCTCCAACAATGCTGCTTCTGCCGCTCCTGGTGGCTGGTGGGTGGGTGGCAGAGGGACCCACTGTCCTCCTCTTCCTGTCCTTCCTCCTCTGCCAAAGCAGCAGCAGCGAGAACAACACGACGTTCAGCCTGCAAAGGCTGACTGGCCACCTGACAGGAGTGCCTTGATTGTGCTTTTCCCTTCTGGCAGGAGGTTGGATATACATCCTGCATATCAGAGATTTACATGACGATCATAACAGTAGAAAAATTACAGTTATAAAGAAACCACAAAAATAATGTTATGGTTGGGGGGTCACCACAACACGAGGAACTGTATTAAGGGATTGTGGCATTAGGAAGGTTGAGAAACACTGCACTACTGGCTATTAGAAATGTTGGGAGTTAAAGTTCAAAACACAAAGAGGGCCGAAGCTGGCCCATGCCTGCTTTAAAGAATAGCCATGATATTTAATTCTATTGTAACGTTTCACATATTTGTAGTTTGAAATTGTATTGAAATGTAAGCTGCTTTGGCCCCTTCCACACAACTGTATAAAATCCACACTTAACTGGCTTATATGGCAGTGTGGACTCTGTTAATGCAGTTCAAAGCAGATATTGTGGATTATCTGCCTTGATATTCTGGGTTATATGGTTGTTTGGAAGGGTCCTTTCAGGGCCAGATTATCTGGTAGTGCAGACTCAAATAATCCA